GTGCAGACTGGTGCAACCACTGTGGAAATCAGTATGGAGATACCTCAGAGAACTAGGCTTAGAGGTCCCATTTGACCCAGCTATTCCCCTACTGGGAATCTTCCCCAAAGAATTAAAAGAATCATACCACAGCGATATACGTGCACCCATGTTTATAGCGGCACGGTTTGTAATAGCTAAAGCTTGGAAACAGCCCAAGTGCCCATCAGCTGGAGACTGGATGAAGAAGATGTGGTTTTTTTAAAAAATGGAGTACTACTCAGCCATACCGAATGAGAAACTAGGGATATTTATAGCTAAATGGATGCATAGAGGCCATCCTCTTAAGTGAAATAAATAGGACACACATGTGTAAATACCGAATAGTTTCTCTGGTGGGAGAAACTGAAAGTGTAAATAAGGAGGAAAATGATTAAAACAAACAATTGATAATTTGAAATAGGAAGAAAAGGACCAAAGGGGCAGGGGAAGTGGGAGGGGAAGAGAAAAGGAAAAATGATGAGAAAAGAAAAAAATGGAAACAAAGTCTAAATAGGGAAGGGTGGAGGGGTGAAGGGAGGGCAGGGAATGGGGAAAGAATAAGAACCAAGATACGTCATGTACAGGTACAAGCACCCAATGAGGAATGTAAACATATTGTATACCTAAAATGCACCAATGAAAGAATTTTAACAAACAAAAACAAAGAAGTTTGAAAGCACAACCAGGAGCGGGAGCACAGGAAGTCTGCCTGCACCCGAGGGCTCCCCACCAGCAAGCGCATTAGGGCAGCACTGAAGCCCGGCCTGCACATCCCAGGCCTCCTTCGAGTCCTACTGTCACCTTATGACCTCGGCCGCGTTCCCAACTTCCCCGAACCCCAGTTTCCTCATTCTCATTTGGAAACCTCGCACCACCTGCACGGAACAGCTGTGCCCATTAAGAGAACAGCACGGAGTGACAACGGGCATCATAAGGCACTGCTCAGCTCCTGGGCTACGCTGAGCCACAGGTGATGTCTGGTATTTTTAGAAACCATCTCATCTCGCAGGCAAGCATAGTGCAGGAAACCAAACCAGCTCTCAGCAGGGAAGAGCCCAGACCCAGCCCAGGCGGAGCGCGCTGGAAGCCAGGCCCGGGACGTGCTTGGCCCCACTCTCCGGAATGTGCTCCCAGGGGCCTGACCGCTTGGTGCCGGCTGCCTGGGGGAGGCTGCCAGCTGGGGCAGCGAGGCGGTGCCCTGCCTGCTTCCAAAGCCACTGGCAGGTGCAGCCGTGGGCACTGGGCCACGGGCAGGGCTGCCAGCCAAGGGAGTGGTGGCCATGCCCCTTGTCTAGAGGAGGTGGCGCTGGTGCTGGATGGAACCAGGGGACGCTCAGACCAAGGAGGAAGTAAGTGCCAGGAGGGGAGGGGAGGGGAGAGAGGTGCAGAGGGGTCACAGCGGCAACTGAGGGGCAGCACCCAAGGGCCAGGAGTCGGCTGGCGGGATGCACGCCCTTGGGAACAGGCCCGCTCATCCCGTCCTGCAGAGAGAGACAGAGAGACAGACAGCAACTGCCGCCTGGCCCAGGACAGCACACAGGGGCTGGACCCAGGGATCCCAACTGTGCCCCGTGACTTTCCAGGAAGGCCTGGCGCCTGAAGTGTTCACTGCACAGACCCTTTGCTTATAGACGGGGAAACTGAGGCCCAGAACAAAGCTGGCCCACAGCAGGCTAACACAGGACCAGGCCTGGGCCCCAACATGCCACTCCCCAGGGCACGGGGCAGTCGGAGTGTGGACAGGGGACCCAACTGCCACCAGCAAATGAGCAACACCTGCATCTTCCCAGGCCCCGCAGGGCGGCAGTGAGCAGAGCCAAGTCCCTGGGGGAAATGACAGATCGCCCTGTAAGCACCCTGCAGGCACCAGAGGATAAACTCAGCCTCACACTTCCCTCTCCGGCAGACAGGAAGCCTGAGAAACAGTTCCACCCGCTGACGTCCAGCTTAACACAAAGCAAGAAGTGGCGCCGACCTGCATCTGCTCCAAGAGCCCGGTCAGGGTCTGCAGCCAGGCCATGGTCTGGACGTACTGCTCTGTGTTCATGATCTTCAGCTCCGACCGCAGCTCAGGGATGATGGCGCCCGTCCGCCAGCCGTGCTTCAGGGTCAGGTCCTGGTGAGAAAAGCCACGCACGTGTCAGCACTGCCCTGGACAGCCAGCGCCAACCTCTGCACTGCCCTGCCCTTCCAGGGCTGGACGGGGCTCACTGAAATGAGTTGTAACTGTAATGGTCAGTCATTAACCAAGCCGCACCCGATGAATTACACACTTCATTAAAAGCAACTGGGCACGGGGCTCTGGCCAAGTCACCCTAAGAGAGCTCGGCTTCTGTGAATCACAGCTCCTGTGGACACAGGCTTGGAAAACACAGGGTCTGGGATCATTAACCATGCTAGGGAGGAAAAAACAGAAACAAGGGCAGGAGTGGAGCACGAGTGAAGGCTCTCATTCAGGAACACAGGTCATGCTGGGCTTGGGGGCGCACACTTGTGAGCCCGCACTCGGGAGGCTGAGGCAGGAGGATTACCTGGAGCTCACGGCCAGCCTGGAAAGCAGTGAGACCCTGTCTCCAAAACAGTAAAAGGAAAACCAACACAGGTCCTGTAGACCTCGGCGAGCCCCACCGTGAGCTCAAGAGTTATGCGAGGCACAGAGCCTCAGGCTTGGACTCATCACATTTCTCATCCCAAATCGATGGCCCCATGATCTGACAGCAGGCCAGAATGTCTGAGAGGGGTATTTGCTGAGCCGGCACACATTTATCAAGCACTGTTTGGCCAGGCCCCATTCTAGATACAAAGATAAAGCAATGAACAACAGCAAAAGACAAATCCCTGCTTTCACAGAAAACAAGCAAGCAAGTAAATACACAACGGCAGGCAGGGAGAAGTACAAGGGGCAGAGGTCAAGCAGAACGGGGAAGGAGGGGCGGGAGAAAGACCATGGTGTTACACAGGGTACTTAGGCAGGACAGGCCATCAGAGGGGCATCTGAACAGAGATCTAGGGGAGAAGAGGGAATGTGTGCAAACGTGGGAGAAAAAAAGGATTCTGGCTTAAAAAACAGCAAGTGCAAAGGCCCAAGGGCAGGAACAGCAGAACGAGGGCAGGGCCAGAGGTGGCTTCAGAGCAGTAGGTAGGAGAGAAGGTGACAGGGCAGCTAGGGGACCCCAGGCTGTTACACTGTGGGGGAAAAGGCAGCTCTGGGGCTTTAAGGAGAGAAATGGTTTCTGGCTCCAAAGCTCAGCCTGCCGCCTCCTTCACTGGTTAGATCTTTTAAACCTTTTGCTATTTCTCTACTTAGAATATACAAGAACCTACAGCACACGCTTCTCAATATTCCCGATGGGAGCAAGCTCTGGAAGGTGAAAATCGACAGGAGCCTCTCAGGGCCTTCCACAGGATGAGTGCGTGACGCTAAATTAATAATAATAAAGCCCATTCCCCGTGCCTCACACCGGCTCTCAAATCTGTCCCAACGTGGTGGCCACTCACGCCCTGACGCTGCCCTCAGGATGGCAGGCAGGGAGCCGGGCAGCCACCGCCGTCCCCAGACACCACCCGACACTGGGCTTCCGGTCCCGACACATGCGAGGTGCCCGGGACAGCTCCCAGGGGTGGACTCGGTCCTGGAGGAGCCAGGGCAGCCGCGGCCGGAACGCCTCCATCCCTGGCCAGCGTGGATTAACCCTCATTCCAGTCCCGTCCACCACCCAGCTGTGACCAGCAGCTCCCACCCTGCACTCTCATGGTCTCAGATGCCCTGAGGGGAGGAAAAGCAAAGAAAGCCACCACCGGCACTGACTGACGCCTTGTTCTTGCAGTAGCAACATTTTTCTGATGAACTGAGTAAATTTCTAATTCCGCCATTTTCCCAAAATTTGATCTTTTCCACAACTCTGATCTACCATGGTCTGTTAAAAGGAGACATTTTAAAATGTGGCCTAGTCCGAGTTTCCCTAAAAGCGTAAGAACAACCTTGAACAAAAGAGAAACCGTTAACACATGAACCTAACTCATCTGTCCCCCGACAAACAGGAGCAGGACAGGGTCCTCACCGCAAGGTCGCTGTATATGTGGTCACCAAAGTACAGCACCTTGGAGCCTCTCCAGCCGGTGAGCTTCAGAAATTCATATAAATTGCCCTGTAATGAGAGAAATACAGATATCACATCAAATGACAGAAATGGTCCAAAACACCTATTTTTTAAAATGTCTAAAAAATTGTTTTTGCTTGTTAACTTATCTGAAATACCAAAATATAAGGGTGAAAGACCCTTCTTAGGGAGTCTTTTAGACTTATCTTGTTTGTTTTTAATTTGTTTTTTGTTTTTTGGAGACAGGGTCTCACTGTGTAATCCAGGCTGGCCTTGAATTCACGGCAGTCCTCCGGCCTCAGCCTCCCCGAGGGCTGGGACTGCACGTGTGTGCCCCCACACTTGGCTTAGACTTGTCTTGTGCATCAAATGTACTTTTCAAAAAAGTCTCATATCATAGGCACTTCTTGTAACTACCTTGTTACAATTAACATCCTATGATCAACATTCTAGGCCCATAAATAATTTCACTGTAACTAGAAGAGCTGAAAAGTATCATTCTTTTTACCAATACCCATGTTAACCATTTACATTGTTACATATTTTGTAAGTTACTTTGTGATAAACATTCTTGTAGGAAAGTTTTATTTAGATACATCTTAATTTTCCTAGGCTAATCTTCTAGAAGTGAAATGGTGTATCAAATGTCATTTTTCAAGGCCTGGAAAATATACTTTTTGACAAACCCAACAGGTTGTTATAAACCACCAAGAACATCAGTAGTTAAAAAAACCACTAACTGGGCTGGAGATTTAGCTCAGTGGTTTCGCCGCCTACTGCGCAAGCGCAAGGACCCGAGTTCAATCCCCAATACCAAAAAAAAAAACAATAAACAGCCAGGGATTTAGCTCAGTGGTTCTGGTGCCTGCCTCGCAAGCGTAAGGTCCCGAGTTCGATCGCAGGTACCAAAAAAAAAAACAAAAAAAACCACTAACATAATAAAAGTTAGCAATTCATTCTTTCAAACAGAATAGAACCTTATATGAGAAAATACGTTAAAACTACATAAAACATCTTTCACTGGGAGATCATTATTGATCTGGGTATATAATACGCCATTATTAATGCACCTTAGAAATTTCCAGTTACTTATTTGCTTTTGTTTTGTTTTTTGTTTTCTGAGACAGGTCTTGCTATGTTCTTCAGGCTGCCCTTGAACTCACAGAAGTCCTCCTGCCTCAGCCTCCCAAGCACTGGGGTCACAGGCGTGGGCACCACACCTGGCTTCTAGTTACCTCTTTGACAGACTATAAAAAGTAAAGTTTTAATTTCATGTTTAAACCCCGTTCAATTTTGAGCTAATTCGGATACAGGCGTCCTGGAAAGAGCCTGGTGGAAGCCTCAGTCTGACCATCAAGTTCCAAGCAGTGGACCCGAGGGACTCGGCCAGGCGCCTGTGCTCGGGAAGCCTTGGCGGCCACCAGCCCCGGCTGTGACACCACCACCAGGCGAAGGAAGGAGAACGGGGAGAGAGGTACCTGCTTGTAAATCTGGCCTTTCTGCAACTTGTGGATTTTATCCCAGAGCAAGATACCTTTCTCGTTCACCTTTCGGAAAGGTCTGGCAACAGAAATGGCAAATGTTAGCACCCGGGGCCCGGCACAGGGCTCGGCGCCACAAACGCCACCCAGTTACTCCCAGGCAACGGAAAGCAGCTCCCTCTGCCAAGTGGAAACCCCAGGACCCCTGACTCCACCGCCCACCTGCCCAGGCAGCTGTGCCAGCTCCTCGACTCCACTCCCTGCCTCATCTCGGGCCATGCCCACTCCAAACAGCCCCTCCGGATGTCGGTCCAGATGCTCCGCACCGACCGGGCCCTGCTCCCAGCTCTGCGTGGTTCTGGGTTCTCGTTAAACACAGGCGGACGTGAGTCTGCTACCAAAGCAGGCATCCGGACCAAAGGCCCCGGTTCAATCCCCAGCCCCACCCGGGCGCTCGGACGGGACACAGAGCAGCCCAGGAGCCCCGGGGGAGGCTCGCTGTGCTCGCAGCTGTCTCTCCCCGCTCTGGAGGCCCTTCGCTCTCTCAAGCCCATCTGCACTGTTTCTCTCCCTCCAGGACCACAGTGGCCCCGAGAACCTCAGCCACAGCCAAGGCTGCCTGGCCCCTGACTTCGGGCAAGAGAGACTCGGGTGAAAGTGTTCCCCAGTCGGCCGCTACCCCAAGAGGTGCGGTTTGGGGCCGAGGCAGGAGTTCCCAAGCCCAGGGACGCGGGCCGGGCGGGTGGGGACGAGTAACACCCCCGCCCCCCTGCCGCGGCCCCAGCCTTCCTACTCCCCGTCAGGCCCCTGCGCCGGAGACACTGTGCGGCTTGCACTCGGCGCCCCCACCCAAGCTGAGGCTGCTTCAAAGTCTGGCAGAGCCCAGCCACAGCCTGAAAGGCCGCAGCCTGAAAGACCCCAGCCGGAGCACTGCTTGGAGCCGAGGGCTGGGGTGTGGGCCATGCTGCTGCTGTTTCTTTTTCTTCTTTTTTATTAGTCCGTATCTGCAGTACATAATGTTCACCTTCCTCATGGAGAGCTGGCACAGGTACACAACCCACCTTCATTCTTTTCCTCTCCCTCCTCCCCTCCCACCTCCTGATCCCCTTCCCATTTGAGAAAGATCTGTCTCCCCACTTCCTATTATCTAACCTTTGATTTTGCTCTTTATTTATACTTTGTGCTTCTCAGAAGAGAGAAAGCATGTGATATTTAAGCTTGTGTATCTGATTTATTTCACTTAACATTATGGTCTCAAGGGGCATCCATTTTCCTACAGATGATTCAAGTTTATCCTTCTTTATGGCAGAGTAATACTCCACTGTATATAAAATACCACTTTTTTATCCATTCACCTGATGGACAAAGAGGCTGCTTCCAAGATTCAGCCATTGTGAACTGTGTTGCTATAAACAGAGGTGTGCGTGGATCACCGGAATCTCATGACTAACTCTTTGGGAGATACCTGGAAGGGGAATGGCTGGGCCAGATGGAATTCCTAGTTTCCGTTTGCTGAGGACCCTCCACACTGATTTCCTTAATGGCTGTATCAGCTTACGTTCCCAGGAACAGTGCAGCCGGGCTCCTCACCCTCACCCACGGCCTTGCCAGCACTGTCATTCTGTGACTTCTTACGCCCCACGATGAGTCTGCGGCCAGAGCTGATGCTCACCTGCGCTTATCGTTGAAGAAGTTGGGCTTCTCAGCCTGCACGATGACCACGTCAAACAGGTCCCTCCAGTCCTTCCCGACGATGTACCTCATCCCTTTGTCCCTGGAACAACAAGGCGGCCACACGGGCCAAGGCTAAAGGGATGAACTATTTTTTGCAACTATTTCTTTCCAGTTTCCAACTGCTACAGTGATGGCACAAAGAAGCGAGGCCGCGCCCACTCACACAAAGCTGCTGGGGCTGTTGGTGACGAGGAACATCTTCTTGCCGTGGTCGGCCAGCTTGGCCAGCACCGCGCGGGTCTGCTCCGCGTAGCAGATGTACTTCTCTAAGAGGGAGAGACCGCAGATGGGGCCGGCAGCCGGCCGGCCAGCGCCCGTGCACTGAATGGGGCAGCCCTGCCCGAGGCTCAGTGGGGAACGGAGGAGGTCAGGAAACTGGTTCTGGGGGCACGGGGTACCCAGGGCACCGCTCCTGGGTCTAAGCGGAAGAAACTAGGTGGCTGCAGCCGCCAGCTCCTCCAAAGAGGAGGGCGCCTGCATGAAGCCAGGGAGAGACTGCAGCTTGGATACAGTCTTGGCAGGGGTACAAGGCCGGATCCCGCCCAGTACACACCGATGTCAGCCTCAATGGCTCGGTACATGATCCCCTTGGTGTGCACGTCCCGGATGGAGTCCTGTCCAGAGACAGCGGCGCATCAATGAGTGACCGTGGCCTCGTGCCGCCACAGCAGGTCCACGTGAGCCGGCTCTGGTGCTGACTTCTGTCCCCAGAAGCTGGCAGGCCACGCACTGGGCGAAATCGAAGCCCCGCTCCATCTGCCACAGGCGCCCTTGGGGAGAGCCCAGGTCCCCACGACGGGGCAGCTGACGTGCGGCCCGGGGAAGGCTCACATCGAAGAGGCCACCTGTGTGGGTGACTGATCAGGCCCCACAGGACACCGGTCCTGCAGCAGAGTGGTGGGCGGATGACCGCAGCCTCCTGCAGGGACAGCCATGATCCGCCTCCCTGGCCCTCCCCGGCCCTCCCCACCGCCCCCCGCCCCCGGCCCCAACAGGACTAGGCCGGGCCAGATAGGCCATAGACAGCACAGCCCGCCTCAGGTGCCACCAGCTGGCAGGAGACTGTCGCGGAGGAGGTCCCTGGCGGAGAGGTGATCTGACTGCAGATAGAGGCAGAGGGGCAGAGGGGCAGAAGGGGTGGAGGGGGAGGAGAGGGCGCCCCCTGCAGGATCGGGTGTGGTGGCCGCTGCTGGCAGGGTACACTGAGCCGGGTGTCCACACAGGATGCTTTCTGGTCCCATAGGCGGAAGTCTGGGCTGTAGGCCAAACTGCCTATGCCTACACGGCTGGAGGGGCCTCTGCCGAGACTGGACGCTGGGCACCAAGCCCTGCCTCTTGGCTTCCACCAGCAGCAGCAGGAGAACGGCTACACACCAGCTGACTGCTGGGCTTAGAGACCTGGGCTCTGCTACAGACAAGCTGTGCAAGCCTGGGAGGGGACTCAGCCTCTCTGTGCCTCAGCGTCCTCATCTGTGACGCGGGGTGACAGTTTAGGGGCAGCTGTGTCCCGATATCCTGATGGACATAATGCACTCAGAGGAACGGGGCGGCAACACGGCACGCTAACACTCGTAGTCCACACTGAGCTCGCCAATGAATGCAGGGGGCACTACAGTGACTTTTTTTTTTCATACAGGGATCGAACTTGGGACCTTGCACTTGCCAGGCAGGTGGCAGAACCACTGAGCTAAATCTCCAGCCTACAGTGACTCTTAAAGATGAAGGGTCTGTGAGCGGAAAGGAGAGCAGAAATTAAATATTTAAATCTAGCCAGGTGCATGCCTGTCATCCCATCACTCAGGAGGCTGAGGCAGGAGGATCGCCAGCCTGGGCTAACTAGTGAGACCCTGCCTCCAAAGTCTAAATAAATAAATATTTAAATTTAGCTCAAATAATACCAGACTGATCCTGAGAAACTACAATTCATCCTTTATCTTCCTAAATCCCAGGATTTAGGACAGTCAAAACTTTAATTACTCATAAGCAGAAGTAAAATATATTTTTAGGTTGTATGTATCTTTTTAAAATATATATTTTTAAGTAAATATGAATTACATATAAATACACATACAAAGTATTATATAGTACAAATACATATAAATATGCATCATGTAAATAATATATAAACACTTTTAGGTACTGAGAAAGCTCCTACAGCCTAATGAAAGTGTATGAACATGTAGACATATGTGATCAGGAATGTAAGTTAAAACATAAAAATGGAACTTTATACGGCTGAAGGTTCTGTCTACATCCCTCTCCCATGGGACTTGGTTGGTTGTTTTTGAGACAGAGTCTTGCTATATAGCCCAAGCTGGCCTCGAACTCATGGTGTCCTCCTGTCTCAGCCTCCCAAGTGCTGGGATTACAGGCATGCACCACTCCCATGCGCAGAAAAACATCAGTTTAAAAGCCCTCCCCAGCAGTTCCCAGGAAGGCCAGGGCACTGATGCCCGGCAGGCAGCACCTTGACATCCTTGTACAGGTGCACAGGCTCGTAGTCAATGTTGTTCCTCAGGAAGTGCTCGTTCACACAGGATAGCAGTGTCATCTCCGGCAGCGAGAAAATGTCCATGAACTGCTTCATGGTGTTTCCGTGGGAACTCTGTGGACAGGAGGAAGGGTCAGACCCAGGGACCCAGCCAGGGAGGCAAGAGGGCTTCCAGGGAGGAAGGGGACCTGGATCGTCCACAGAAAAAGGAGATTCCTATACATAGAGACAGACAGAAAGGAGCTAAATTGCTCAGGCTGGACTGGAACTTGGGATCCTCCTGCCTCAGCCTCCCAGAGCGCTGGGATTACAGGTGTGCACCACCACGCCCGCCCGGCTAGGAGACTGTAATAATACCCTTCACTGCACAGCAGGTATCTCACCCCAGGAGATGATGACAGTGTGGCCCCTGGCCCTTCTGCTCTCCCCACGCCCGGCTCCACGCCCTGGTCCCACTTGGGACATAGGACCAAGGCTGAGACAAGAGCAGCTGGGCTCGGTGTCTGGCACCCTGCACTGACAGCCCCTAGGGTCACCTCAAGGGCCGAGGGGGAAGATGGGGAGAAAGGAAGAGGGAGACTCGGCCAGGAGGCCGCGACGCTCCGGGTCCCCGGCCCTGCACCTTTCCGTAGAAGTCGCTCATCTGCTCCAAGGGCACGTGTGACCCCTCGTACATCTCGATGACCTCCTCATCGGGGACCACGCTGAGGCCTCTGGGAAAAGCAGACGGCGCCATCAGAGAGCGGCCCAGGGCGACAGCGACTGTGCCTCGGCCACGCTGGGGTTTGTCAGCCAGGAGGGAGACACGGGCGCCATGAGGAGAACTGTGCCCCTGGAAGTGCCCAGAGCACCAGGCGACGCACGGCTGCAGGGACTCCCAGGCCGCGGGGGTGACACACGAGCAGCTAACACTGGCGCTGTGCATGGTGACAGGAGCAGGAAGCGCTCACTCCCCAACAGGCCCAGCAGGAAGCTCTGTGACTGCCCGTCTCCCAGCCGGGCCCACTGAAGCACAGAAAGACAGCACAGGATGAAGAGGGCTTTCTGGGCCGCCAGATCCCTAAAGCAGAGGGACAGGCTGGCCAGGGACACGCTCGGGTGGTCTCTTCCACCCTTGGTTGGGTGCAGAGGGGAGAGCTCAGGCTGGAGAGGCAGGTAGCGGGGACACCACAAAGAGGAACACCCAGGACCGGCTTCCCCATCCGCCACCTGCCCGCCTCAGCCCCAAGGACTCCAGCTCCTCCGCACTGCAGAAACTGGCGGTGACAAGGACACCGCAGGACAGGCAGCACGGAAGGCCATGCTGTGCTTCAGCGGTGGCGGTGGAGGGAGCTGACGGGGCTTTATCACGGACTCAGATGGGTCGGCGTTAAAGCACACGCACAATGCGGCCTGTGCTTGGCATTATGTTTAAGAAATATCTGTGGCTGGGCGTGGTGATGCACACCAGTGATCCCAGCACTCAGGAGGCTGAGGCAGGAGGATCGCTGCAAGTTCTAGGCCAGCTTGGGCTACATAGCAAGATCCTGTCTCAAAAAATAAAACAAAACAAAACAAAATTTTTTGAATTATTGAAAAACAAATACATACTTGACATGAAATAAAACACTTGGGGAAAAAAATATGGAAACCCACTGTTACAGCTTATGTCTAGATGCCCCCACCCCACGCCTCATGCGCTCATAGCTGGGGCTTGGTGAGGTGATTGGATTTGACCTCTGAGGAACGTGATGCTGGGAGGTGCAGCTCGCTCCAAGGAGGTGGTCACGGGCCCGGGAGCGTCCGACCCCTCCCTCCTCTCTGGATCTCTGCCCTGGCACCCTGCCTTGGAAACAGCAGACTTCGACCTGACTGAGGCTCCTACAAACTGAGCCAAATAAACCCTTGCTGCCTCAAGTCTGGGTGTCGGGCACTGTGCCCAGCAACGAGGAAGTGCCGGAGACACTGCAGAAACCAAGCAAATACAAACAGATTATTAAGGGCAAGAAGAACCGAACATTGTACCAGGACGAAAGTAAGCATGGTGCACCTGCCAGCTCTAGCAGCAAGGCCTGGAGAGTCACGAGGTCAGTGGGGACTCACACGGCAGCCAGACACTGAGACTGAGCGAGGGCAGGGCAGGGGTGGGCAGGACAGGTGGCAGGAGGGAGAGCCGAGGGAGAGCCGAGTCCTCAGCAATCACAGTGCGGACAGAGGGACAGCACCCGGGACCAAGCAAGCAGGACACAGAGGCACCGCATGTTCCCTATTTACAGATTATGGAGGGGAGGGGAGAGGAGAGATGGGGGAAAAAACTAAAGAGTATGAAGTGTACGGGTGGGGAGGGAGGACACAGGTCTGCTGCTGTCCCCTACAGTGCCTTTAGGATTGTTTCTAGCTTCATTCATGCTCTATTTCAATGAAAAATAAGTAACTTTTGTGGTTGTTTTTTTGAGACACGGTCTCACTATGTAGTTCAGGCTGGCCTCAAACTCGCTATGTAGCCCAAGCTGGCCTCAAACTTGCAGATGGTCCTGCCTCAGCCTCCCGGGTGCTGGATTACACACGTGCACCACCACGCCTGGATGAAAAATAATTTTAACAAAGAGTTTGTAAGGGAAGAATCTAAGCTAAGCCAGGCACAGCTTTGTAAAGGTATATGAAGGAACCTAAACACAAGTCACTTCCAAATTAGAGCATTTAAAAGAGGCAAAATCCTCAATTTTAAAAGTTACAAACACGCCAGGGATTTAGCTCAGTGGTTCTGACGCCTGCCTCTCAAGCACAAGGTCCTGAGTTCGATCCCCGGTACCAAAAAAAATAAAAAGTTACAAACACTTCTGGCTAAGTGAAATACACGTGCAAATTCTAAGGGGGAGAGTTAATATCCAAAGCACCCCGGGGCCACAGCAGCAGTCGACCCTGCCCGGTGCTAGCAGCTATGCGTGGCTCATGCTTCTGCCTCCCTAACTCGGCTACTGCTTTTTCTCAGGCGTCAGACAGAAGCCCTGCACGACTCTTCTGGGCTAGCACTGCTCCCCGCTCCCCGCTCCCCGCTCCCCTCACACAGCAGCCCAACCCCAGCCCTGCCGCCCTCCGGGGCCGCCCCAGCCTGAAGCACCTTCACCCGGCCGAGCCTTCCTCTCACCTGTAAACGGTTCCCAGCTGGATGTAATGAAAAGCATCGATCTTCATCAGCACTGCCTTTAAAAACATAAATGCATGCACATGTAACAGCGTACAGCAACCTGCTCGTGGACTAATGTGGTCCCACGCCATAAATCCTGTCCACCCTCGGCCTGACAGGGAGCCAGACATTCTGAAAGCTTGCTTGTTATTTAAAGTGATTTTTATTTCTTTGCTTTCTATAGAACTGGGGACTGAAGGGCCTTGCACTGAGCTACATCCTGGCTTATTTTGTATTTTCTGAGACAAGGTCTCACTAAATGGCTAAGTTGGCCAGGCTGGGTTTGAACTTGTGATCCTCCTGCCTCAGCCTCCCAGAGTGCTGGAATCACAGGTGGGCGCCACCACTCCCAGCTTAAAGTGCTTTTTGAGGAGGTGGCTGGACAGCAAAGGAAAACCAGATCTGGCAACTGGCTCATCCCCAGCCACAAAGCACAACTGCAAAGGAAGAGTCGTGTCCAAGAGGTACGCGTCCTCCTGCTTTGCCAAGACTTAGCCTCTGTAAATCCACCTGGGAATTGTGGTTCCGCAGCCCTAAAGATCATCGTTGAAAGGTAAGTCACCTGTCCAGCAAAGAACGGGACCCGTCATCACGCTCCACTTTATGCCATCTGGGACAGCAGAGCCTGAACCTACCCGGTGCACGTCGTAGTGCAGCCCGCGGATGGCGAAGCTGGGGTCGTACTCGTACTTCCTGATTTCCGCAGGGTACTGCGAAGAAGAGAACCGGGTAGAGCTAACGGGGCAGCCCAGGTCCCAGTCTCATCTGAGCCCGTGGAGCGGACGGCCCAGGGAAGGCAGGACAGGGACAGACCCCAGCCTGCCCCTCTGCTCGGGGTCACCGTCTCCGGGCTGCTGGGCGCCCGTGTCTGGCCAGCACAGCTCCACCCTGGCCCTCCCCACCTCCTCTCCTCCCAACCCTGCCCTCCCCTCCCTCTGCCCCGGCTCCCAGACCTCTAGGACCCCGAAACCCATCCCATCTCCCCGGGACCCACCCGGCCTCTTGTCTGTGAGGAGCAGAAGCTGGACTGTCCCGTTACTGGGGGCACAGCCCAACCCGTCACCCCGTGACTCATGGCCCCGCGTCCATGAAGGGGCCCAGCAGGGACCCCCAGGGTCCCCCACCCCCCCAGGGAGGGCCATCCGGACCCACAGCCCCCACCTCCTGCCCCACCGAGGCCGCCCAGTCCCCCTATCTCCTGCCCGCCGGCCCTGCCCAGGGGACATCAGCGGTGCCCTGGATCCAGCCTGGGCCACCCTGCTGGGGCCAGCGGACCAGAGTCAGCTCAGCTCCCTGCCCCTCTGCACTGGGGACAGAAGAGCCACAGGGAGGGGCTGACCCCAGATCTGCCCCGCAGCACAGGAACCACAGGAGCTGCAACCCGGGCTCCATCCAGACCCCAGGAAGCCCCTCCATGAGGCCAGGCCACAGGGAGGCGACCTCTCCCATACCATGGGCAGAACACACACAGCAAGCCTTCAAGTCGGGCTGCTCACTCGGCTCATTTATCCCACACCCACCGTGCGTGCCTAGAAATCCAGGAGGCGATTTCCCCATGGGAGGCTCCAAGTTCCAAACACCATGAGCATTCTGCATCTTCATGGACAGAGGGACTCGGCCCACGCCGCCGAGCCCCAGCAGGGTCCACGGCTCAGCTGGACACGGGAGCCTCGAAGCCTGCACCCCAAAGGGTGACGAGGGAGTAGGATACATGAACACGTCCTCTGCTGAGCACCTGCTCTGTCTCACCAGGCCAGACCTACTCCGTGACTCAGTTTACCCCTCACTACACCGGTGCGCAGCAGGCAGGGCAGCTCACTGTTCCACTGTCGAATAATCGGAGGGACACATGGAACCACATGTGTCCCTGGGTAGCTGGGCACTCATCACCCTGTGCCAGCTCAGAGGGCTCCATGAGTTCAAGAGTCACAGTGAGACCAGGCGTGGTGGTGCACACCGTGATCCCAGCACTCAGGAGGCTGAGGCAGGAGATCACTGCAAGTTCGAGGCCAAACAAACAAAAAAATCCCAAGAGAGGCGCTTCCTACCACAGGCCCTTGACTAGCACTCTTCAAAACTGTCAAGGCCACCAAAACTGAAGAAAGTCACAGAAACCATCAAAGCCACAGGATCCTACAAACCGTCAAAGCCACAGGATCCTATGGCAACAACAGTAATGGTAACCCAAGGTGATGAATGCAGCCCTGGAGCAGGAAAGGGCGTGGGGACCAAGCAGGCAGTTGGGAGCGAGCGTGGGCTGACCCAGGCAGCAGGGCATCGGTGCTGATGCCTCCTGTGATCCAGGTGCCACAGCAATGGGCCTGGGGCGGAAGCAGGAACTCCCCGCTGTCTCCGAGCTTTGCCACGAGCCTCAAACACTCTCTGTTCCAGGGCCTCGCTGTGTAGCCCAGGCTGGACTGCAGCCCACGACAATCCTCCTGCCTCAGCCTCCCGAGTGCTGAGAGGACAGGTGAGCACCGCGCCCGGCCTCACCCTTGAACACTCTAAAGCTGAACCTGTATTTCACAGAGAGGAAAGGCCCACAGCACTGGACTGTGAGGAGGGACAGGATGGCCAGGCTGTGGGGTGACAAGCAGGCGACCACAGCTGAGCCGCTGGCCACTGTGAGCTCGGGTGAGGAGGCCCAAGCCGACAGCAGCTGCACTCCGCTCCCTTCCGGGTGGACTCGAGGAAAAGGCGGTCCGGGCTATGACTGTGCGGTTTCTACCTGATGTTTGTAAATTTCCGTTTTTATCAAAATTTGCTCTGGTTTTTAAAAAGGCACATTATAAAGAGCAGGGACTCCCGACTTGTGCTTGTTGGAAAGACTGAGTGCAGACTTCCTGTTGTGCGACCGTGTCTCAGAAACAAATGTCCATTCTCCACAAGCCACAAAACACGCTGTTCTTGGCAGGAAGAACGGAGGCCAACCCTGTGCTTCTTGAAAGAATTCTTTTGTTTAATGAGAGCAAGAGAAAAATCTGCACAACTGCAATCGCCCCCGTCAGTCCGCCGACATAATTAGCGTCTAACAATCTCTCGGCCAGGCACGGACACAAGGGGACCTGGGTGCTCTCCACTCCAGGAGCTCCTCCGCTGCAGCTCCACCTCCTGTCTTATCCACCTCTCATCTCTCCTGGCCCCGAATTTCCTAAATGCTTTACGCTCATAAATGTTTTATTTTCATGAATATTTTATTTTCATCTGAACAAAAACCCACAGGGTAGGAAAGTGTTATTAGCCATACGGAAACAGATCCGGGTTCAAATCCGGCCATGTGCTGGCCTCCAGCTGAGCCGCAGCTGAGGGCTCTGGCCTCAGTTTCCCCAAAGGTAAAGCAGCGCGAGGGTCACGCGGTTGGAAACATCAATCATCGTAACAGGCACCGCTGAGCTGAGGAAGGCACCACTAGGCCCGTTTTACACAAGGGAAACTGAGGACCAGAGAAACGGGGTGACTCGATCACGACGTGGGGAGAAAGTGACAGAGCAGGGTTTGCACCGAGTCAGCTCCAGAACCGCACTTCCCACCCAGCAAGCGCTGCACAGGGCTGTGGGACAGCGGCCTGCACCTCAGAAGCAACACCGCAGCCGGCCTGGGACGAGACCCACAGCCTGGTGCAGGGCAGCACCAGGAGGCCAGGGAGAAGCCCCGGCATCTCTTCCACAGCGGCAGGAGACAGGTCATTCTGGCCAAATGCTATTTCTGCATTTGGGATCTGGAAAACATGAGTCACTAAGCCCAGTGACAGACAAAAGCGGAGGTCAGGGCCGGGTGCAGTTTGCACCCTACAGTCCCAGGCACTTAGGAGGCTGAAGCAGGAGGAGCACGGGTTCAGGCTCAGCTGGGCATCCGAGCAAGATGCTGTCTCAAAAAGAAAAAAGGCCGAGGATCAAAAAACATCCGGGATCAAGTGGTCAGGAACTGAAATTCATGGAAAGTGTGGCTGCATTCATAAAACCACGGCATCCAGAACCTGGGAGGCCCTTCCCTCAGACCTCAGCCCCTCGGAACAGCTTGGGCCCAGGGCTCCCCATCTCAGACGCGAAGACCAGACCAGAGCACACACAGGCGGGAGACCAGGGCGGGGCGAAGGACCCGGAGCGGCCAGGGAGAGAACAGCCTGGGCGGGCACGACACGCGAGCGAGCGTCCAGGATGGGGGCCCTTGACCAAGCCGCCCACCTCCACGCTGTGCCCCCAGCTCCCTCGGCAGCGACGGGAGCTCCAACCGACCTCACCACATCCCGAGCTACCTGTCCGAGGCCACGGCAGCGCGGCCAGCCGACCACAACCCCAGGCTGCTGGGTCTCCATGGCAACACTGGCACCCACCAGCGTCACCCTCCCTGCTTCCACGCCAGGCCTGGCTCCAAGGGGGACCGGGTCGGGGCCAAGGAAGCACAGGGCAGAGAGCAAGGGGAAGGTTGGACAGAACCAGCAAAACCGGGCAGCACTGGCGACCCCCGCAGTGCTGCTGCCCTGCGTGTATCTGGGCCGCTCCAGGAAGGAGACCAGCAGGGCTCTTCTCTCCTCATTAAGACTCAACAGAGCTCTGCATCAGAAGACATTCAGTGTTCTCTGCATAAGAGCAAGTCGGGCAGCGCTGTGCTGCGGGGAAGGCGCCCCTTAGCCTGTGAGGGACCCTTCTGACTGCAAGTCACAAGGTGTCGGTCAGCCGGCTCTCGAGGACCGGGCTGCTGTCCCGTGTCAACTAGAAGAGCACGCACCGACGGCCGAGTCTCCCCAGTGCATACCTCGGAGTATTATTTTACCCAAGAGATAAGTTTAAAAGAATATAAAGACAAAAAAGACAAAGATCTTTTTAAACATAACTGTCTTCCACATAAGTGTCACTTGGAAATCTGCAATGGAACGAAACCGACTCATCCATCCAGCAATGATTTACTAAACGGCCTCAATGAGCCGGGCATCGGGCCCAGCCAGGCAAGGCTGCATGTTCTTTAAATATCGACGAGGGCCGGGGATTTAGCTCAGTGGTTCCGCCGCCTGCCCTGCAAGCCCAAGGACCCGAATTCGATCCCTGGTACCAAAAACAAAATAAATACGGACGAGAGAGGGCAGAGACTTCGAAGGGCCCCCGACCTTACCCGGTGCTCATTGATGAGCAGGTCCCGAGCCGCGTTGAAGATGAGCGTGTGGAGGTGCTTTGAGTAGAACACCAGCGTGTAATCGTAATCGAAGCCGTAGATCTCGATGTCCGACAGGCTCATTTCATTGTTGGAGAAAATGGCATCTGGATTCAGCAGGTTACTCATAAGTGAAGGAACCAATTCTAGGAGTAAAGAAAAAGCTGCATTAGGGTATAGAGTAAATACGGGTTAGTGCGGTTCCTAAATTAAACCAGTAAGCCAGGGTCCAGGCGCCGAGTGCAGGGTCACTCTCGCAGGGCACAGGCTGCAGGCTGCACTCACACCGGGGTCCACAGGAGACAGACCGCAGGGCCAGGGAGACGGGGGCTGGGAGGGCAGCAAGGCCTGCCAGTGGCCATGGAGTTTCTTTCGGAATGACGGAAATGCTTTAATTCTGACCATGGTGATGGCGACTGGACACCTCCTATGAATACCCTAAAAACCGCCGATGGGAGTCTGTAAATGCATGGATCATGTCATATCTAAATAGGTCTGAATGAAACTGTTATTGGAAGCGTATATGTATCAACGTCACAAAAATAGATTTGCTTCATTTAAAAAAATACATGCTAAGACAGATCTTTTGCATAAAGGAAGGAGACTCAAGACATGGAAGGGGTTGAGGGAGTGGAAGGGAATTGGATTTTTACAAAAGGGAACTGGGGTGTGCTGTGCACAGGTACCAGCTCCCCATTAGAGCGTGAGGATCACTGCAAAGGGTGGATTCTTGTCCCTGGCTTCTTCCTCTGGGCTTTGCAATGGCCACAGGCTGAGCAGCTTTCCTCCATCATGCCCTTCCGCCATGATGTTTCTGCATTGGCACCAGCCCACCACGGACTGAACTCTTCGAAACCATGAGCCGAGTAAACCTCTCTACCTGTAAGCTGTGGGTGTCAGGTGTTCTGTCCCAGTGACAGGAAAGTGACTAATACAACTGGCATGTCATCATAAACCTATTATTCTGTGTTACACATTTAGGTTCTCCCTATTTAATGAAAGAGATAGGTAACATTGTGCATCTGTCTTTGCCTGCTTTTCAGATTATTTCCTTCAGCTTGTTTACTAAAGTGCGGTTGCCCCTTAGTTAAACATCTAAGATGCCGGGTTGAGGGTGTCGCTCAGTGGTAGAGCACATGCTTTAGCAAGTGAAGGGCCCAGGTTGAATTCCTGGCAAAGAAAAAAAATCTAAGATGCAACACAGAATGCTGGGATCTTATTTTTCCAATATATTGGAATATGCTGCTATTTTTATCATCCTGGGAATTAACTCATCACTACCCATCAACTATTGCCACTGTGATTTTTTAAAGAAAAGACTAAGAAAGCAGAGCATGACAGGAGATGCCCAAAGATGGTGCCGCAGTGTGACAGCTCAGCACTGCTACCAGTGGGTGCCCTGCCCTCTGGAAGCCACAAGAACAACAGCAGATGCCATCTTTGCAGTTGTGTTTGCTGCTTCCGCAGAACATGGCGGAGAGTGGGTGCCTGTTCATTTCCCACTCCAAGTGACAGCAGTAAAAGAAGAGCCAAGACGACCGAGGAAGGTAAGTCAAGAGTTATGAGAAGCAACCAAGACGACCTGAGAAGAGCCATCCTCCAGTCCGAAGGCAACGGGAGTGGACCGCACTGGTGAGGTCTCAGCCTAGGGGCTCCACAGCTGCATCCTCCATGAACCTCAGGATCAAAGACTGAACGACTCAAAAAACAGAAAGGGAATACGATATTCTTATGCAGGTAGTCACTGCACAGGTGGACATTTAAGGGGAAGAACTTCATGGGTTAACCTTGTGACAAAAACCCATACTGCGCTATTTTGCTGTAAGGGTATCTGATGGTGTTCTTTCATCTTTTGCAGTTTGTGCATTAGGATTTACTTGAAAGAAATCATAAGTAGACAAATGCTGAAGGCGGGTAACTTTGGGGGGTGCGGCCAACAGTTAGCATGTGGGCAAAAGTCACCCTGTGTTACACTGCTTTGTGCTACACAGTGCCTCGCCTGCCTCCTTTAGAACAGCTGGTATCTGGGAGTTTTGTTTTGCTTTGCTTTGCTTGCAGTACTGGACATTAAACTCAGGGCCTTTGCACTAAGCCACATCCTCAACTCTTTCTTCTTATTTTGAGACAAGGTCTCACTAAGTCACTAAATTGACTAACTCACTAAATTCTAGGCTGGGCTGCAACTTGGGATCCTCCTGCCTCAGCCTCCAGGTTAGCTGAGACAAAGCGCATCCCCCTGTGCCCAGCAAACAGCTAATTATTTAAAAAGCACCTTCTGCGCACAGTCAGACTTCACATCACCTCATTTAATCCCCTCCACAGCCTTGGCACCCACACTGTTACCCCACACAGAAGCACACCGGAGGGGGGGGGGCACAGAAGCGTCACAAGTTGCGGAAAGGTGCCACAGCCACCAGAGGGCAAGACTGGAGCTTGGACCTGGGAGATTAGGCTCCAAAGTCTGTGTTCTTAACTCCTCCCGCCAGGATCATGGGAATCTCCCGTGCGTGATTTTTACCTAAAATGAAATGGAGCCTGGTGTGGTGGCGCACACTTGTAAATCCAGCACTCAGGAGGCTGAGGCAGGAGGACTGCTGCAAGCTCAAGCCCAGCCTGGGCTACATATGGATACCCTGTCTCAATCAATCGATCAATCAAGCAATAAAAATGGGGTCTATCCATCGTGACTGAGCCTCCCTTTTTCTTCTGCCCACTTCTTTCTGTGAACAGCCAGGGTCCACTTCCACTCTCGGGAGTCAGGGTGCTGCTGTCGCATGTTGGCAGCTCCACTCGGGAGCCCAAGGTCCCACCCGCGAGGAGGCGTCCGAGCGAGAGTGTTCCAAGCCTCCTTCACACCTCTGGACAGGACTCCTTGGAGAACCCTCTCCCTAGAAAGACACCCTTCCCGGAGGCCGTCCCTGACCCCATCCGGGACCCCAGGAGGGCCGAGCCCACACGCGCTGCACATGAAGCCTCCGCATCCACACGCCGGGCTTCCAGGGAAAGCAGGATCTAGACGTGACCGAGTCTGCTGAAAACCCAGCGAGTCCGCCTTCAGCAGCCACTCCACACCTTCACTGGTTTCTTTTGTCAAAACCAATGAAACCATAACCTTGGTTTGTTGTTTTTTGCTTTTCCCTTGCAGACAACACCGAGCTGAAGGTAGTGAACAGTGAAATTTAAGAAACTTGAGGCAGACTGGGAAAGAACCAATCCCAGGAGGGAAGAGCCCGCCCCGCAGCCACGACTCTGCAGCCTCTCGGATCGGCCTGCATGGTCGGCGTTATTCTCTGCATGCGACCTCGCGGCACAGTCCCTATGATGTCAGTGAGGCAGCATCGCGTGCTGAGGGACCCAAAGCTCCACCGTCACGGGCGACCTTTGCAAGGGAAGTCCCGGCAGCTGCTCCAACGGAAGTTTATATTTAGAAAGGGCGCTGGCCAGAAAGCCTACTCCCTCCTGCCTTTCTACGGCGAAGGCTGTGCAAGCCTCAAGGAAAATCCCTGCTGTCACCGGACCGCCCAAGGCCACAGCCCGAGCTTCCGAAGGGAGGTTTCCAGCGCCAGCCTCCAGAGAGGCCCAGCAACTGCTTCGCAGCGCGGACGGGGCCCCTGCAGCCTCGACCGAAAACAGGTCGAGCAAACGTGAGTGATACAAGGAGGAAGGAAAGCCACACCCCGGCCCCGGGAAGACAAGCGGGGTCCAAACCTCGGGCGAGGATGAGGCTGCGGGCAGTCAGGCGCTTCCCGAGCGAGCGGAGCGGAGTGGGCGGGGTCCAGCGAGCACCTCGTGTGCAGAGGAGGACGACCCCGAACTGGAGGTCAGTGCACAGGAAGGGGAGCCCGCCACCCCGCCGGGCCACTGTAGCCCTGCACACTCGGCGCCCTCCAGCGTACGCTGGGGAACGTGCTGACACCACAGGGCAACCACAGGCTCTCAGGCGGGGCTGAGCTTTGGAGACTTGCTAGTTGGTTGGTTTGCTGCCGCGGGCCCAAGCCTGAAGATGGCCCTGCACCTCCTCCCCACTCCCTTCTCCTCCAGAGACTGGTGGTGTGACTAAGACTGCAGACCCGGATGGCACAGCCCAGGAGACAGACACAGCAGGTATCTTTCTTCCCTGTTTCCTCTCTGCGCATGGCCCGACCACCAGACAACCACGCTACGTTCAGCCTAGGCCGCGTGGGCCGCGGAGCGCGAGTTACCCGCCTTCTCTTCCTGTTTGTCTTACACTATAAATAAAGAGCGCTGGGCCCCAGGCGGCCATTGGCTCCCGACAGGCTATGGCTCCACCTGGTCCTAGCTTTCAAGCATAATCTTGGTATGCATCCTTCTTTCTTGTTGGTTTTCCGTTTTCTTCATCTCTCACTGCTCTCCCCAGCTTCCAATCCTACGCTGTGCGGGTCACAGCAGTCTGTTTATTCCAGACAGGGTCTCACTGTTTAGTTGAGGCTGGCCTTGAACTCACTGTGTAGCCCCAGCTGGCCTAGACCTCATGACAATCCTCCTGCCTCAGCCTCCCGAGTCCTGGAATTATAGGCATGCATCACCAGGCCCGGCTGGAGATTTTCTTACTGTGGTAAAACACATAACATAAATTTACCACCTCCAGTGCTTGTAACACTCAGCGACCCTAAGTACACTCACTGTCTAGTGATACCACCACCACCATCCCTCTCAGAACTCTTCCCATCTTGCAGAACTGAAACTCTGACCCCATTAAATAACATCTCCTCACCACTACAGCCACCGCTCACTCTGCCCCTTGAATCGACTAAGCCCCAGGCCCCACAGAAGTGGAATCACACAGCATCTGTCCTCGGGAGTCCGTGGTGAAGCAAGCATCAGCATTTCCCCTTCTCTGAGGCTGAATAATATTCCCTGTGTGATCGCCACCCTGCGGCTCTCACCTATCCAACTTCTACCTTGGCCGCATGAGCAGCACTGCTGTGAACACAGCTGTGTGTTCAAGTCCCTGCTTTCAGTCCTTCTGCACACCACCCAGAATGGGACTGCTGAGTCACACGGTAACCCTATTTTTAATTTTTTAAGGAACTGCCACACTGTCTTCCACAGCAGCTGCACCAATTTGATTTGCATTTTAAAGATCACCTTGCAAGGCCATTCCGTGCCTAAATCCTCTCTTGGC